AACTATTTTATTCTCTTAATTCATTTAAATTAATCAGTTACTTAGTTCCATATTTGAGGAAAATCAGGTAATGATTCAAATTGTCAGTGGAACAACTCTTTCGGTGAACAATATGGAGCCAACGGTGGCTATGCTTATGGTTAGTAATTACCGCAAATTATTTTTATTTGTTTAATTTTTTATGGTTTAAAAATTAACAATCTAAAAATTTCCTTAACTTATTTAGATATGGTTCAATCATCTTTCTTAAATTAATTTTTTCCTAATAAAAAATTCATTCTATAAAATTTCTACATAATGATAATAATGAAATTTGACAAAAATGAAATGATACAGATAGAATGGATAGCACGGAGAAGATGGATGTATCGGAACACCCAACAAGAAGTATTCGAATTTACTGGCGTGTCATGTAAGCAAGGCATACCTACACGACCTGATAATTACCATGTCATTAACCGTCATGTCATGAAATGATAAAATTTAGAACGATTTTGAAAATTCTGTTTTTTTTTTTTTTTTTCTGTCAAATATATAAACTAGGTTTTTGTGTTATTATTGCCTTTTTTCCGTCTTTTTTACGTTCAACAATTTCAATTGAAATTTATTATTGCAAAAAAAGATGAGCATAATTATATAATATCGTATAGGAATGAATCATTCGGATTGATAGGCAGCTTATTTAATTTAGTACATAAAATTATCTGAAAATGAGAAAGAGATAGAAAATGTTATTGAATTTTTTGTTTTTTGTTTTTTTTTGCCCAAAATGAAATTTTCCTCCAAATTATCGTTAATTGTGTCTAAATTGATTTTTAACATTGTGCTAAATGTTGATTTCTTTTTAATATTTGATCTTTAAATAAATTTTTGATTTTTAACTTTTCTGAGTAAAATTAAGAATTTATTTTTTGTCAATGCAATAAACGAGTTGATTATAGAATAATAATAGAAAGCTTCAGATCCAACAAAATTTTTCCTTCTTTCTTTTCAATTTTTGTTGGTAAAATTTCAAAAATTTCTTAAATGAAAAAATGATGAAAAAATTGAAATAGAATGTTATATGTTTGAATTTAAAATTAAAACAAAAACACGTTTAAAAATTTCTAGACGGTTAATTTTTAAATTTAAAGAAAAAAATAGGGCACCAAATTGAAAAAAAAAAACTACAGATATACGTGAAAATTTCTGAATTTAAAAATTAGAAATTTTTAATGAGTTTTGAAGGAAAGCATGTTCAGAAATTTCCCAATTTTTTTTTTTGAATTTCTTTTTATCACTTATTTACTAAATGATTTGTAATATACAGATTTCTAATTGAAAATCGGAACCACTATAGCAAAACCGAAAAATGTTGATTTAACGAAGAAGTCATAACAATATTCATATTATCATGAATGAACGAGGACGAATGCTCTTTCTCTATATAATATTAATTGTAATATTAAACTTTAAACTGTTAGCTTGCGATATCAATACTGTCTATGATTTGATAATGACCTTTTGAATGACCTTCCAAATGCAAAAATCTTTGTTCACATCTTTCTGACTGGACATTTCTGTAAATTAGCACTCATTCTTAAGAGCAGGTGAATACGATAACTTATGAAAAAGTTATTTGCTTTGGTAATTCAAGAATGTGTAGTATTTATATGAAATGTTAGCAAAAATTTTATCAAAATTATTTTCGTTTTTCGGAATCATATTTCTAGGAAAAAATTTATCAGTTACATTTTCACAAAACCTCTAATTTGTTTACATCTGATAAAGACACAAAACTACTTACAATATTTTATCAATAAAGTTGATAACGCACACAACGCTAACCAAAAAATATATATGGAAGGTTGAAAAGAGTGGAAGTTAAACATGTGAGTTTAAAATTTAAGAGTAAGCAAAAGGTATGATATAGATCTGCTGACAACTATAAATGAACATTACTATTTGGTTTTTATTTTTGAGCTGATAACAACTGATATTTGTCAGGCACAGAGGGAGAGAGAGAGAGAAAGAGAGAGGGGGAGAGAGAAATATTATACTGCACCGCTCCTTCTATATAGATTGGTATTTCAGGATGATACATTTCGTCATCATAGTATTTGTAAATATTCTGCACAATTATTTCAAATTTCATATGTTTAAGATTTAACAAAAGTTTAAGTGTCCAAAATTATGCAGTAATTATTTTATCTAAATAAAAATATATTAGATTACCAGAAACATCCGAGTAATTTTTACAAATCTGTATAAATAAAGCTAAAATGAATAAAGAAAAAGTATGACCTTTCATTATGCATGTAAAAGTAAGAACAGAAGTATGACCTTTCATTATGTATGTAAAATTAAGATTAAAAATTTTACCAGATTCACTGAATCATTGCATTCTCTTTTACAAGTGTTACAAAAACCTAACAATGCGTGCAAAATTTACGAGAATAAAATGAATTTTATTTAATACAATTAAAGATTATGAAAACTGTCACTGGCATAATAGTTTCTTGCTTCCTTACTTTAACAGATTAATAATTCTCTTAAATCATGTTATTTTCCTTACTCTACAATACAAAAATGCAACACTACAGTGATACTTTAAATCTGTTATGGTTCGAGAGAACCATTTGTTAAATGTGTACATATAAATTTGCTGAAGTACTAAGAATCTAACTTATGCATAAATCCTTTATCATAAATATTTGATACTTAAGATGCGGGCAGTTTGTTTAAGTTTATATTTTAAGTTTATAATCTGCTTTTCCATTCGGAAAAGTATTTCGTTTTACTTTCCCTGAGGTCTGTGTTGTTGATTTCAAACATTGTATATCCTATCACAAAAGAACCACAACAGCACCTTCCTCTTTCTGTTCTCACTCATCTTTTGTTCCTTCCAAGCAAAATAAAGGTGATTTCATCGAAAATTTTTTAGACGATATCAATCTTTCCAAAAAAACAAAATTTACAAGTAAAAGTTTGCAATAAGCTCTATGGAAGATATTACAACCCCAGTTAAAAATACAATTTACGTAAGCAGAAAAGATGAACAGTAGAAAAAAAAAAACAGTTTCTGGAAATTCACTGTAATAAGATCCATTGTAATAAGCAAAAACATAAAATTCATTGTAATAAGCAAAAACATAAAGCGAAAAAGTTAAGTTTTGAAGGAAACAAACTCAAAAGCTTTTCTTTCAAGAAAGCAAGTAGATACTTTATGAAAGTTTCAAAAGTGAGATAATCTTCATAAAAAAAGAAATTCAGAACAGACGAATAAATGAGCAATTGAAGGATGTTTGTAACAGAAGTCAAGGTAAAACTATCCAATGTTTCATGTAATTCATCAATTAAAGTTGGATGCTTCGTGTATAATCATATTCTATTGTTGGAATCACTGCCTAAAATTAATGTCAATTAAATTTACACTTCAAATAAAATTATAATCCGTAAAAAATTTTTCTAATAATGATCAAATTTTCGTTTCAAAATTGCTGATAAATAGTCCCTTCAGTTAATTTGACACAAGCATCTGCTAGCATATTTAAACCAAGATCGTAACCCATACACATCCAAATATAAACAAATATAAAATACAAACGTACAGAGTGATTGAAAAATAACCTGAACAAATTTGAGAAATATAAGGAGATATTGATCAATACTCAATTCTTTCCCTGATTCAGCAAGCTGCTCAATGAGACGCTTCATTACTTCTGCATGTCTACAAGGATGGATGGAAGCCATTGCAGTGCGAAAATATGGATGAGATTCCATTGTAATCGTTTTATTAATATGATCCTTAAATCATGAAAATTTTCAAAAAACATAGAAAAATTGCCGAAAAATGTTAAAGCAGCTAACAATCAAATGAGAGAAAAATATTATGGAAAACATAATTCATTTTAAAAACTAAAAAAAAAATGGAACCTGTGAAAAGTCTGCACTCATTTTATCGACAGCAAGTGGTTTGTTGTTTTCATCGTATCCACATAACCAAAGACGAGGTACCTGACTCATTAAAGAAATTTGACTATAAATTCTGCTAATAATGTGAATCAATTACACATGTTATTGTATTATTATATAACACTGAGTAATATCACGTAACAATCAATAAAAAATCCATGCTAAGGAAATGACACTTATTGAAAAAAAATCAAAATAATTGCTAGAAAATTTTTCTTTTATCACATTACTACAACAATGTAATCTAAGTTACCTGATAATATTTGTCGTAAGTTATGTGAAGATCGTAAGTATGTGTACGCAAGACGTTATCCGTATCGCTCTCGACGTGATTCCTCTCCTCTTCAACAAATCTTGAATATCTTTATTATTTTTTCTATTTTTTCCACCGTATATATATTGAGAAAAAAAGTTGAACACTCAAATTTTTAGAAAAATTCAGAGGGTCAGACAGAATCTGAAACACACTATCTTACCGCTACTTCAGAAAATCTTTCGAAAAACCACCTATAAGGATCGTCTTCTTCGAGACCACCCTCAGCTACAAATGCATCCATATCCATCGGCGGCCCATCATCATCGTCTTCTGGTTCTTCCGATAGTTTTGACTGAAGGAAACACTAATATTTTCAAATAATATAAGATCACTAACTTCATTTTATGCGATATAAATAATATTATGTGAAAATTCGACCTCAGAAGATTTCGTCTGAGGCATTTCGAACATCGACGCAGGTTTCTGATTGGTATTCAATAAATAATGATGGGTATCAACCCATCCTTCGTCATCCTCCACGTTAGTAAAATCACCCTCTTCATTCCACTCTTTACTTTTCAGTATCTATAAAACTGAAATTCAAACAAGCAATTCTTTAGTCTCTAGATAATCATAATTATGCGATTTTTTTTATTAACAATTGTCTTTGCATTTGTCCTACGACTATTTAACTATTGGGACGGATTAAATCTCAAAAAAATTTCAAATCTCAATTATGCACAAAGAAGGAGAAGCAGAAAAAACCACGATCTAATTAGTACCAAGTTATTAATGGATACACATAGAGAGTTTCTGGGTACATTTCTTTCAATTCAGTAAAATACCTTTTCTTGTGATGGGTCATATTCCATATCCGCACACCGACTAAAACATGGCACATTACGTGTAATCAAAAATTGTTTGTCTGTAGGTAGATATGGTTTGGCTCTGAAATATTAAAAAATACATATAAAAACTTAGAATATTAAAATACAAGAAACATTTCAAGCTATTTCTTCAAAAATTTTGATACAATCAGTAGCTTTTCAGCAATCGAATCTTGCATTCCAGTGATATACCAAAAACTATTGAACTATTCAAAAAACGGATAATTTTCATAAGAAATGGTTGAACTTTCGACCTGATTGCTTTATCATACAAATTCTAACTCATTTTATTATTGTAAGCAAATGACCTCTCCGTTAAGTACATTACTCATGTTTTCAAATATTTTTGCTCTGATTGAATGATTGTTTATGACGAAAGAAATACGTCTTCTCAATCCAACTTAGCTACGGAAAGTGACTTAGCTTGGTAAAACAAATGAAAATAAAAAGATAAATAATAGCTAAACTACTTTGACGGTTCTAATTGACCCCATGACCAAGTTGGACAATGATGTATGAGGTAATCGCCAGCAATAACAAATTCTTCAGGATTTAATACGCCTGTCTCTTTGAATTTTGACTCCCGAAGCACTGGTGTTAAATACTGACCCACATCGAGAGCTATGCTTTTTACAGAATTCATGATATTTTCCATGATTGATTTGCACTGTTAAAAAATTAATGAAATAGCTGAAAAAGAACACTCAAAATATTTTTTCCAAAATTATGGAATTATTCAAAGAAAACACGCAAATAAGTTACGAAACGCAGTAATAACATCATATCCTTTTTACGATCATTCATATCCGCCTACCAAAAGACAAATTCCTTACTCAAATATTTTAAATAATACTATAAAATCAACGTCCACATTGTATTTTTACTAAAAAAAAACACTAGCCTCGAGATCAAAAATTTTACAATCGATTAAAACATAAAATACAGGTGGGGATCACTAGTCTATTTGCAATGAAATCAATTTTCTTCCACTCTTCCTTCTCTTAATTATAAAACCAGCAAAATTCCTGTCTTTCACAAAATTCAATCAATTTTCCTCTTCTGCTCCTTCATTATATTTTTCCGCTGGACAATCAATTGAATATCGAATGTCCAGAATGTCAGTCAATATAATGTTCAACAAAATTCTTAACAAATATGCAGTATAATATCGTAGCAACTGAAGGAATGAAGATATAGAGATGCTGTGATGAAATAATGGATGAGCTACTGTCATTCTACAGTTTATCCTTTTTCCATCCCATGCATGACGAAAAATATTCTAATATGAAGAGAAGTGAGAATGAAGTTCAAAACTCATTCTAATTTGTTATAATAAAATGCTCGTATCAATTTTATTCTCTCATTCTAATAAATCTATCATAACTAATTTCTTTAAATAAAATAGCCCATCAAACCACTCTCAAATCCTACTTGTCCATCACTCCCCTGCCACCCACGCTCCTTTTGCTATCCGATAATCTCGTAAACTTAAAAACCACTGTTGCATTTGTATTGGGTGATACGATTGGTGAAATGAAATGAGATGAAATGATTTGAATTCGATTGATTTATTTTGTGAAAAATTTTTCTTGACCAAAGTAATTTGAATTAAAATAAGACGATTAATTTTAAATTCATTTCCAAGATTCCAAATTTTTATCCGTACACGTATCTGTTTCATTCCTTCTTTTCAATGATAAAATGACAAATGAACGATTTGTCAGCTTTTGAATTTGCTGAGAGAAGCTGAATTGGAATCTTTTGCTGTAGCTTTTTCCTTCCATAATTCTTTCATAATACGCAGGAAAAGCTGTTGACGTACGCAACTATTAACATGAAGAAATTGTAAAAAATGTTGAGCATTTGTTGGTGAAAAAGAAATAGTCTCGAAGAAGAGTGTACAGTATTCACCATGAATATCTCAGTACATGATAAAAACTATAATCCACCAGTGAAATTTTGCGATTTTTTTCAATAATATCGAGAATAAAACGCAATGAATTACTTTATTTTCCAAATTCAATTCCCATTGATTCCCTTTATCAAAACATCTTTGAATCAGTAAAATTTGTTAGGGTATAAAGAATTATTTTAAGAATAAGTTATGGTAAACATTCTACCAAAACATATTTGTAACAACGATGTTATTGAAGACTTCAGATCTATTATATTATTTCGTTTTATTGTCCATATTTAACAGCTTATTCAATTTTTCAAAGTTATACAAAATGGCAAGTAAATGTCAATAGTTTATCTCCAAATTCGATTCGTTGATTGTAGGATGGAAATGAACTGTTTGCATGCACTTTGATAACTATAACTATTGTAAATATATTAACATAATAATATTTCTGGATTCTGATATCACATATGTGCATTGTGACATAAGCAATTAGAAAATAAATTAATTTTAGAAATAATTTTCAAATTGCCTGAATTTGCAATGCAATAAAATATTACGATCACATTAGCTTCTTATTATCGTCGGGAAATAGTTTGAAAAATCGAAAATTCGTAATTTATCAAATTGTTAAGCATTGATAATTTTTGATGCAAATTAATATCTTTTGTGCCATTATTGAGATCATTTGAAAAAATAATTTTCCAAAAGTTTTTATCGATGAATGACATTGAGAAAAAGTTTTTTTGCAGTTGCTCAATGTTCAGAATGGTCATTTTATATTATCGTAACTAAGGAACTTATAATTTGCTTTTTTATTCTTCCCTTTTTTTTTTTCTTTTAGTAATATTAACTGTGCAATTTAAGCTAGAAATTATTCAAATTTTGAAATAAATTTTTATTTGAAATGAAGTAAAATAATAAAAGTGCGAACTGAGTTCAACGAAATTGTTTCATTGAAGTCTGAAAATTGCATCAATTCTCTTTCTCTATAGAATTTTGTTAAGGCAAAATACGAAAATAATTCCGGAAGGGATGATCACAGACATGTTCTGCTATCTCAGAGAATGTAAATTCATTGATATCTGATCAGTATATGTTATATTATATACAAAATGATCGTATGCATATAACGAAACAACTGAGAAAAATGTTTTTTTTTTTCCTTTAGTACAATAAAAATTTCCATGTTTATGTCGCACAGCTATGCATATCATTTTATTGTATCAAATTTTTCAACTAAAAATTAAGGCATTTAAAAGATTTAATTCCAAAACTTGAATTCATTATGAATTTATTTCGTCTAAAGCTAACATTATTTCCACTACTATTTTAAAAGCATACAATTTTTTTAATGCCTTAATTAACAAACACCTCTTATTCTATACTTTGATCAACATGCTCTTGTTAAATAATGGGAACAGATTGTGTTAGAAATCAAACAATCACACTAAAAGGCTTGTCAAAAAAGAAATGAGAATTAGGATTTTAACTTGACATTTGATCCTGTCGCCTAACATAGATATATTTTGCAAGAAAATTTGCTTTAAATTTTAATGGAGAAGTGATGATTTTCATAAATGTAATAAAATTTATGTGAACGCACTGGAATTGAAGTGTTCGAAGGCTTCAAAGACATTCTCTTCTTTATCATCCCACTTTGATCCGTCTTTTTCTGATATTTTCTTCATTGAAACAGTTTCGGGAATTGGTGGTAGGTTCAAGAAGTCTGAATCGAAATTTGCGCTACTTAGACGCTCACCAAGTAATGCTGAAATTTTAGTCAATTTTTTGCTTCTATGTTTGATGCTCCGCTTGTTCATCATAATTTTTATCATAAATTTTGTCATAAATTTTTTTCATAAATAAATTTTACCGTAAGCAAAAAAAAAAAAAAATAAAATGCCATATAAAGTTATAATTAAATATGGTAAATCCTTAAAGTTTTCTTTAAGAAATGTACCACTTTGACCTCTCAGTATATAATATTGAGAGACAGTATTATGTATTGAAGGGTCAAAGTGGTGGACACATATATATTAGATAACTATTAGTTTTGGAAATATTACAATCCATAAAGCTATCAAATTAAATAGCATAGCTGGAAAGAATTATTTCAATATCAGAAAAAGGAGGGTTTCCCATTGTTTACTTATCAATTACCTTAGAGTATTCTTTTTTTTTTCAGAAGAATGAACTTACAATGTGATCGTTTATTTCGTATGATAGAATCATTAAATCCTCGTGATGGTCCGGTGATTGTTTTTGTAATGCGAAGTGGTCTTAGGGAACGACGTTCCAATTTTGGACTTATGAGAGGATGAGAGAAGAAATCTCGATTTTCGGGAAGATTATGTTGAAAGAGTTCCTCCGGTGGTAGCACATATGGTGAACGTCCTTCAAGACTTCTGGTAGTGGAAGACAAACAATTGCTTACAGTCATTAACTGCAAAGAAAAATGAATTTTCTCTTTAAATTTTTCAAGAAAAATTTTTCTTTTTTTTTTTAAAATTTAAAGGAAAAAAAAAGGAAAAAAAAATTTATTAACTTCTTCATCTTCGCTAGCATCTTCAATTGTAGCAGGTAACGACGGTGTTTTACATTGTAACTTCGCTTTATACTTCTTTTCTTGATCAAGTAACAGTTCCGGATATGTTTCATCAATAATACGTTGCCGTAAGTGATGTTGCTGTTGCGTAACGGTAGTTTCCGGTGAAACATTGCATTTTGATAATTGTTGAAATTTTGTACGACGAGCCGTTAATGCTGTCATTTCGGGCACTCTTTTTTAATAATTTTAATTATTGCAATATATGTAAAATAATTTTTGTCTTCAACGTAACAAACATAACATTTTACGCCAATAATGTGAATAAAGTTGTACAAATTCAATATGTCACTTATAGATCATTTATTTTTCTAATGAATCATTTCAAAATTAATTAATTATAAATTGAATGGAAATTTACTTAGGATGTCAGGAAAATCTTTTACAGGAATACTCGATGAAATGCGAAATAACTTTTGAGCGCTTCTGTGCAAACAGATGATCGAATAACACAAAAGGAATTCATATCATTTCAGATCGGATATAGTAAGCAAATTGATGACCATCTTATATTTTCATCTTTTTGAAAAATATAAAAATTTTTTCAAAATTAAAAAATAATTATGTAAATTTAAGAAATATTGTACACGGTACTGTACCACTAATTGTAATTTTTAATTAAAAATGATATCGAATGAGAGGGAATGATATTACAATGTACTGGAGATATGAATTATTACCTTAATGTTTGTCAGAAATGGGAATGATTAAATGGGTCAAATTGAAGGTGTAAGTAAGTTAATGTTAATAATTTTTGTTTGAGTAAATTGGCAAATTATTATTACATCAATGAGAAAACGCAGAAATGAATTAATTTGTGGAAATAAACGACGTTAAATTTTATTTTGTTTATTAGCATTACGCATCAATGAAGTATAAAAAAAGAAGAATGATTTTATTTTTAATTTAAAAGAATCAAATTTTTTCTTTCACACATTTTGTTGAAAAGGGAAAAAAAGTAAAAAAAAAAAAATGTTACGAATTGAAAAAGATCATTTTACACGTGTTACAATCAGACAATCAAATTGATTATATAATTTCATACCGTATACGAAATATAACAAAATCTAAAATCAATTGTCATATAAATTGATATCAAATAAATATCATTATGTCTCAGCAATATCAGTATGTGCAAATATATGTCCAATTATTTTTGCCGCTAACATGAAATATTGCTTGAATTAATTTTTTCTGATACCAATTACAGTTGATTTCAACAAATAAACAATCCCATAAATGATTTGAACCATGACAGAAAGGTAAATATTTATAAATACAAAGTGATCGAAAGTGAGGTTTTTTTTTTTTTATTTTTTAAATGTTAGTCCTTTTTAATCACTACAACGAATTTCAGTCAAAACTAACATTGTTTTTTTTTTTTAAAAAAAAATGAATTTTTGTAAATTCATTGCTAAATTTGAGAACATAAATTGTTCAATCTTATAATAAAAACTATAAATAGACTATTTTAATTTTATTTCAATACATTAATTATTCATTACGTTCATTATATAAAAATGACTATAAATCAAGTTAACTTTATTAAGCTCATTAATAGCACCAAGTTATATTACTCATATATTTTATTTCTTCATTTAAATTATCGTAACCAAATTTTTTATTATGAATACTTACCTGCTATTTACCTGTTACCTATCCATAAATAAATATCCCAACAATGAAAATCATTTTTTCTTTCCTTTTCTCTTCCACTACTATCACAGTGCAAATTTATTCACAAATAATAATACACTATGACGGATCTTTCACAAAAAATTATCCACTTATAAAAAGAAAAAATTACCTTCGTCATAAATAAACAATTTGAATTTTTAAAAATAAAAAAAAAAAACATACAGAATAGGCAAACATTCATATTCAGCGTTTTTGGTAGTCAAAAATGTTATACGTTGAAAATATATTGAAAATATTCCAAAGCCAAAATTTTTCATTTCATTGTGAAGAATAAAAATTTTGTCTAGAAATTTAAGAAACAAAANAAAAAAAAAAAAAAAGAAAACGAAAGAATGCTATCTGTTGAGTGTAATATAGTGTAAGCCAAATATAATCACAAAAATTATTTTATTTTTACTTTTTCAAAAAAAAATTATTCATAGCAATGTGGTGAATTTTGTGAAATTTAAAAGAAAGCATAACGATGAACAAGGACACGAATAACCGGTTTTTAATTTTCCGTATTTATCCATTAAGAAATTGAGTGCCATCAAAATAGGTGATATTTTTCATGCGAATTTACTTATCAAAATATTTGTGGAAAAGTTAAATACACTTTTTTGAAGAATAAAAAATTAATGCAAAATCGTGCAAAAATTTATCACTATTTTAAGCATTTTCATCTTATTCAACGTTTACAAAGATATTTGTGTGCTTTTTTTTTTTGTAAAACAATTTAATTAATTACTCGAAACAAATGAATTACATCGTATTTGTAATTTAAAAATTTTTTTACTTCAAAATTTTTTGGACAAAATGATCTAAGCGATGCTTGTTGGAAGTAAGAAACAAGCATGCTTCAAAAGGAGAAATTTTATGAGCTAAATTCTATTTGAAACGAATAATAATTAAGGAATTAAATGAATGAATTTTAGTTATTTGGAGGAAAATGATGAAGGAGCGAGGAGAAGTGAAACATTTAAATTTATCATTCGTTGTGAAATTTGTTTGTGTTGTATGTGTACGCTTTATATATATTTCAAGTTGTTTATTTTAGGGAGAAATCAAGTTGAATTATTCATTATGCCACCCATTTCTGGAAAAAAAATTTCTTCTTTGCAGAGAAAAAATTTTTTGAACTATTTATGAATTTAAATTTTGAAATTATTTCACGAATTTTTGAAGTGAACCCATTTTGAAACAAATTAGTTGCAACTTACAAATCTTAAAAAAAAAGTTAATTATTCAAAAAAATAAATGAGTAATTTTTAAAGATTTTCGATGATGAAATTTTACAATATATATTTTTTCAACGCAAAGCTTACAATACTATGGTTTTATGCTTTAGCAATTTATGACAAGAAAAGCCTAATTAATAATTTGATAATTTTTTAATTATTTAAGAGAAGAAAAGTACTGAAAGAAAATGCGTTACGATTGAATTCGTAAGGTACGTGTAAGGGAAAAATTACTCCTGACCATTTATCACTCAGATAAAAACAAAATTACAGAGTGAAATTTAAACTAAAATTAAGTAAAAGATGAAATATCAATATTTGAAGAAAATAAATGAAGGCGGGTTTTTTCCGTAAAATATTTCGTTTTCAATTAAAAAATGACATTAAGCCGTTAAAAAGCTCAAGCAAATAGAGGGTCGTAGTATGAGGCTACTGGATAAATTTGCATATGAAAGAAAAGGAATGAATTGTTAAAAGAGCAATTAACATATATATTGCATGTGAAAATTTCTGAATTCTAAATTTAAAATGCAATATTTTTGATTTTTGATTACAAATAATAGTTTAATATATCATATATATTGTTGACAATATTATAAAAATTCAATATAGTCTAAATTCTGATATCGACGTTTGCACAAGCGGTATATTTCTGAGAGTTTTTTTTTTTAAAATTCACTAATTAGATTTCTACAATACCAATATTTCAATATGAATCGTGCAGGGAAAAGAAAAAAAAAAGATAACCGGTTTAGTAGTAAACAAATTCACTAAAAAATTTTTTTCAAATTATTTGTTTACAAAGGAAAAAATTTGTTTGATAATTTTGGAAAAAAGTGGAGATTTATCAATTGAATGTATTAAATAGTGCAAATAAACCAATGGTAAAATGACAAACAATTTGAAAGCAAAAAATTATTGTTAAAAAATGACCAAAATTTGATTTCAAAATATCACAAAAAATTGATTGTTTTGCCTTTTAACGTATATACTTTTTCATTTGTTGTGATTAAATATTAAAAAAATTTTGATAGTTTTGTCTATACGAGACGATAGTAATGATTTAGTATACAAATCTGTTGAATTTTTCATAATGTTAAAAAAATGCATAATTCTTTTTTTATTTTTTTTCAATTTAACATTTTAGAATAAACTGTGATCATTTATTGAAATAAATAATTGGAAATATTCGTTTGATATTTGAACAGATTTAAAATCGGGAAAAAATTAATGGCATAATCTAGGAGAGATACGAAAAGAGAAGAAAAGAAAAGATTAAATAAATGTTGTAAATGTTATATATATCTGATGACGTGATAGGAGTTATTACGAATATATCGATAAATCAAATAGCCAATTTTCTCATTGTTTGATCAAATTGTTTATCATTTTACCGATTTGTTTGCACTATTCAATGCATTCAATTGATAAATCTTCGCTTCTTTTCTAAATTATCAAACAAATTTTCTCCTTTGTGAACATTTGATTTGGAAAAAAAAAAAAAAAACAATAAGGACATCATTCGTAATTCGATCAAGAATTACAATGAAGCTAGCATTGATTCATTTATAAATCAATTAAATTAGCCATATTAATATTTTATTAAAATAACTTCAACCAATATTTTATCATTGTTTTTTTTTTTTTATCCCTAACAAATATTTATTTCACCATCCTCCTTCTCCCTCTCTCTCTCTCTCTCTCTCTCTCTCTCTCNNNNTCTCCCTCTCTCTCTCTCTCTCTCTCTCTCTCTCTCATTCGAAAATTTCAATTTGAATAAGAAAAGATGCTGTAATTAATTAAACCTTTGAAAATGCTATAAGAGGCACATATATATACTTATATATATATG